CCCCCCCCACCCTTCACTAGACCCGACCCATCACATGACCCAACAGATCCTGTAGACCCAGGTCCATAGCCCGCTCCACCAAGGGGAGGTGATCACTGGGGAACGTGCCAGTCACGTATGGGACCACCAGAGACTTGCTGGACGGACGACCGATGCCGATACGTAACCTTGGCATTGCCTGGGTAGATAGGACAAAAAATATTTTCCAAAAAAAAAAAGTACAAGCCTCAAACTCAAAAGTATGTTCTTCATGACTGTAGTTTGAAATAAGACATGGGCTGTGTCGGGATGAAGTATTGGTGTTGAGGTTGTGCTGGGATAAAATAAAGTGTTAGTTTTGAGGTAAAATATTGGTTGTGCTGGGATAAAATAAAGTGTTAGTTTTGAGGTAAAATATTGGTTGTGCTGGGATAAAATATTGGTGTCGGAGTAAAATATTGGTGCTTGAACAAAATATTGCTGTTGGGGTAAAATATTGCTTGTGCTAGGATGAAGTGTTGGTGTTAAGGTAAAATATGGGTTGTGCTGGGATAAAGTATTGATATCGGAATAAAGCATTGGCCGTGTCCGCATAAAAAGTTTTGGCTATGTTGGGATAAAAGCACTAGCTGTGTTTGAACTAAGTATTTGTTTGATGCAAAGCATGAGAATATTCCATTTTCTTATAATCTACATTAAACATTTGGAAAAGAGAAAGGATAATATGAAAAAAACAATGTAGACAGCTCATTTTGAGAATCAAAAGACGACTGGAAGTGGAAGATAGATATTTCAATACATAGAGAAGATCCAGTAGTTCTGAGAGAGAGAAGGAAGCATCAGGCTCATCAAGATAGATTTGTGTATAGCCTCCCTTTAAGCTGCTCACTTTTGATACAGTTCTGCTACCTATTGCTTAAGTAGGCAATAGAGAGGCATATCAACACAATAACAGTCATTTAGAGCACGCAAAGAGTAAGACATACAAAGTGAAACAAACTAAAAAAGAAAAAAACAACAACCAGAAGCATCCTCCAACCACCCATTTTACTCAATTTTATCGTGATGGTAAACAAAAACCAAAAAAATAAAAACTAAAAACTGAAACACTACCCTCCTTGAAAATCGTTTGAGCAAAGCATACTTTAACCCTTTTCAAAATCGGTCGCCAAAAAAATGCAGCTCTGGAGCTCAACCCAGCTGAGAATACCCCTTGTTTCTCCTCAATCAAGATTTCTGCAATAATAGTTTTGACTTTGATAAAAACAGATTACTGACATCGTAAGCTGTAGCCTCATTTTTATTTCTAGTGAGGAAGCCGACATCTACAGATAGAATTCGATTTTAACTTCCACCAAGCTCAAAATAATTTGAACAGCTGAAGGCTGCTATGTGCACAGAAAGTTAAACAAATGGGCAGTCATTGCTGACAAAGAATGTGAACCAGAGAAGAGTCAAGTAATAGTCAGGTGCATATTAAACGTTTTATCAAACAGCATAATTTGATCCCCTCCAAGTTCCCATTCTTTTGTAATGAAAAATACAATTGTACAAAAAAATGTGTCTGTACTCACGTTAGACTGGAGGCATTTCATGCAGGACAGCACACCCTTGTGACCCCTGGATAGAAAGCAGACACAGGTATCGATAGTTATTAAAGCCACTTTTGTTTTAGTAAGAGAAGAACATCAATACAATTACAATCACTTAGTGGAAGGGGGGGGGGGGGA